TCTGAAGAAGGGTCTAGGCCTGAAACGTCAGCCTTCCTGCTCCTATGATGCTGCTTGGCCTGCTGTGTTCATCCAGCTCTGCACCTTGTTGTGATGAAATGCTAGGATAGTGTTGGAACCTGTTTCAAGATTTTCAAATTCACCAATCCACAAATTGAGAACTTTGGCTATTTAGGTCTAATACCCCAAGAATCTATTAGTGTCAATGGAACAACACCATACCATAAGTCACCATTTTGAAATGATGAGAAAATATTACAATTATGGAAATAAATCTCAACTGCTGTGGATTGGGCCTAAATTGAGGTGGCAGACAATCCCAAATGATTATAGGCCATGCTGTAGCATTATTTGTCTGTGTGAAATAGTATTGTGTTTGTTAAAGTGAAAGGTCACCCATTATAAGCTGGCATGATAACTCCACTTGTTTTGTTTTTCAGGAGAGGCCCATTGGCCGAAAACCTAAATGGATAACTGACTTCACCATCATGTCTCAATACAACAAGTTCATCCTGAGTACTGGGTATGGGTTCTTTCTGTCAGTTTTATGTTGTATGCCGCATATTATTGATTAACTGAGTAGCTTGGAGGTATTGCAAAATGACATTTTTGTATTTCTTTAACTTCTTCAATGTAGAGATCGGGAAATTCAGATTTATGAGCTGTCTACCTTGGAGCCATATTGTCAGATCACTGGTTTGGAAACAGGACCATTACAGCTCGACTACTGGTAAGAAATATCAGCTGGTGAAGCAGTAATTAGTGTATGATCAATTGGAATTTTTAGAAAATATAAAAATCATATACAGCTTATATAATTTCTGCCTTTTGCAAGCTTGCAACAATGAAGTATGTGTGAAAGACCATTTAGTGTCATAATTACTGAACCAACTCCATTCTCAATAAATCACAGCACTCAACTATTTCCTACATTATGTCCAATATTATGCTTCCAGAACTTAAAAATTAAAATGAGAATATTTCTGGTGTTTTAATTTAAAAACAAGTGATTACAGCAGATGTCCTTACAATTACTGGCAGTGTTATTGAATCAACAGGATACAAAGATCTCTTTTGTTACAACATGCTCAAATATCTATGAAGGGTGATGACAGTCTATCAAGAAAAAGCATAAATTTAACTTCTTTTATTCTCTAGCTCAACCGGTGGAGATGACTGTATGATTCTGTACGGAGATGATCAGGTGAGATCATTCTGAGAGAATGATACTGCATTTATAGTATTATTCTACACTGCAGGCAATCCCTAATGCACCAGCAGTCCTTCAGTGAAGGTAAAGTCTTGCTATTACCTCTGCTGACACAGATTATTCTCACTTTGTGACACTGATTATGACAGTTCAATGTGTTACCGCCTTGACTCTGTTTTATTTAATTGATAAATTTAAAATATGCTTCCTATTTTGTTCATGAATAACATACAGCATGGATGGAGATTAACATCTATACTCACACTACTGAACATAATTCTTTCAAATTAAAGGAATGATATTTATTGACTCATGCTGTAATAATAGTATGGGCATTTGCATGATTAAGCTGGTTACACATTATATTGGCAACACCATGCGAGCTGACAGTGGCGTCTGTCTCTGGTGTCCAAACTTCAAAGCACCGTTGCAAATAGACATGCTTATGGAGTATTAGTTGAACTTCGAACACATTTGTCCATTCACACTTTAATCTACATAGTGAGGTACCTTCCTGAGGCAGCTAGGATGTTGATCTGACAATTGGTTATACTTGTTTCACTGTGTATGTTATGTGTAGATGTATGTGATATCTGTTTGTGCGTAGTGTGGCTGTGACGTCCTTTCATTTAAGATAACAAAGTAACATAGATAGAATCTTGACATAGAGTCAGCTGGTACTACTAACTCTGCCCCCATTTTAAACTGGAGCTGCCCAGATATTTTCTGACATAACACCAGCAAAATGCAAAGTGAAGTCATTGCAGTCTAGTTGCATTTATCAAATTTGCATTTGATTTATGAGCAAATGTGGCAGAAAGCTAAAGAAATAAAGTTTAATTTGGAATGAGCATGTTCTACAAATGTAAATGAATCAGAAGCACAAGTGGATGAGACGCCAGTTCCTATCTCCAAACCTATTGTGTTTTCTATGAGATTTCTATGTTACAACCATCAGCATTTACAAGCTTTAGAAAGAGGCTGCATTCATTGAAGATAATGCATCTGACGTGCAATTTACTCCCATCTTCTCAATAAACTCTTGGAATTGGTATCATTGTGACCAGTAGGATTTGAATTAAAATACCCAGCATATACATGCTGAATTACATTTATTTTGTATTTTTTTGATGAACTTCATCAATATTTTAACATAGTCAGTTTAGTAATTCAGGTTGTCAGAGGGCTGTGTTGGTCTTGAATTCATTTCTTGTAGAATTCAGTATCTTGTGAGCAGGATAGAGAAGCATTAGGTAACAAAAAGCTCTGCCACAGTTTGCGTGGCAAATAAAGATCATGTTAAGCAATAATCATAACTGCAGCAGCTTTAAGAATTTATTGCCTTTTCTGCACTCATCATCCTTTCACTCATTGATTAACAATGAAATCTCTTATGGCCTAGAGCTGCAATACATAATGTTGTAATACAGTTGAAAGAGCTCCTCAGATATCTGTGCAAAATCATACAGCTTTGGAAAAATTGCACCTACCTAAAAAATAATTTTGTTCAGTATAGAGATTATCAACTAAAAATTCCTCTGGGTATTCTTTGATTGAATGCCTTAACTCTTAGCATAAAATTGGCAGAAACCTCAGTTAAATCAGAATTTCACTAATACTCTGCCAAAGCTAAGATGCTGAATTAGGTTAATCCATTACATGATTCCAGTCATATAGGAGCATTGCTTTGGTTGCCATGTATAACACAGTTGTGAACATTAATTTTAAATGCACTCACATTGTTCCTGCACATTGCAACAGAAACTATAGTTCCCATTGTTGAATACTTTTAATCTTGACATTTATGTTGTTGTAATTTTAAAAATTTTTCTCATTGCAGGGCTGTGTAAATATTTTGCTTCTTACATCAGTAGGGGAGACGCTGAGGTTTGTATAATATGCTAAATTACTGTATTAAAATGGATATGTTTCTGATTGCTTCTCTGAAATGGTATTGATGCGAGAATAAAATGCTTTTTGTATCATGCACACTTTTTGAATTTTAATGCATGTGAGCGGTCTTTCCAAGTTACTGTGCTTTAAAAGTCACAAAACAGTTGAGAATAAATGAATTTGCCGGAATAAATTCAGCATAGATGTAGTTCTTTGATTGTAGTTCTGTCTTATGTCGAGGAAGATTTCAGATGTGAAATTTGTTGATGAATACACCCATCACTTCTGAGGCACAAAAACAAAGATGCTGGAAAAGCTCAGCAGGCCTGGCAGCATCTGTGAAGTAAAAACAGAGTTAACGTTCCTCAGAACTGGACCCGAAATGTTAACTCTGTTTTTTCCTTCACAGATGCTGCCAAACCTGCTGAGCTTTTCCAGCAACTTTGTTTTTGTTCCTGATTTACAGCATTGCAGTTCTTTTGGTTTACATCACTTCTGAGGCATTGATAGAGGCATTACATTTAACTATGCAACATGGAGAGAAAAAAATCAGCAGTTTTCCTTTATTCTGCTCGTTATCCAGTGACTGCTGCTGGTAAGGCCATGTATCTGAATATGGAAAAAGGGTAAATCAAATTCGACATTGTCTCCATTAAATGCTCTACAATGCCCCTGATGCAGGCACACATATAAAGAGGGGAACCAATGACCTGGAAGTGTCTTCCAGGGAAAGGAAGAACGGTTAAACAAAAACTTTTAGTATTTTGGTGAACAATTAAACTTTCTGGGATTAGGGCATTTATTCACAACAGTTAGATATTGGTTAAATATATTTTATGAAGCTGTGAGAATGAGAACATGAGACACCACAAAGTCTAGAGCATTGAATCACAAAGTGGGATTAAGCCATTCAGCCCTTTTGAGCCTGATTTGCCATTCAATATAATCATAGCTAATGCTCCATCTCTACCGCATTCCTTTTTTCCCATACTCCCTCAAACCTTTAATATGTAAAAATGTATCAACCTCTTTCTTGCCTATGTTCAGTGACTTGGCCTCCTGCTTTCTGTGGTAGAGAATTCCACAGATTCACTACCTTTCGAGTGAAGATTTTTTTCTTATCTCAGTCTTAAATGGCCTGCTCCATATCGTGAGACTGTGTCCCCTGATTCTAGACTCCCCAACGAGGGAATATATCCTCCCTGCATCAAGTCTGTCCAGCCCTGTTAGAATGTTATACATTTCAATCAGATCCTCTGTCGTCCTTCTAAACATTTGCCCAGTCAAACCAATTTCCCCTCTTAGGACAGTCCTGCCATCCCTGGTATCAGCCTAGTGAACCTCCACGGCACACCCCATTTGGCATGTATATCTTTCCTTAGTTGGGAGACCAAAACTGCATGCGGTACTCCAGGTGCAGTCTCACCAAGGCCCTATATTAACTGCAGTAAGACATCTTCACTTCTGAACTCAAATCCTTCTGTAAAGAAGGCCAATATACCATTTGCCTTCCTAATTGCTTGCTTCACCTGCCTGTCTACTTTCATTGATTCTGTACATCCTTAGTATATCCACACTTACCAATATATTACCATTTTAAATAGTACTCCCGGCTTTCAGTTTTTCAAACCAAAATGTATAACTTCCCATTTAGCCAGATTGTACTGCATTGGCCATGTGTTTGCCCATTCATTCAATTTGTCTAAATCTCCTTGCATCCTCCTCACAACTCTCAATTCTCTCCAGTTTTGTGTCATCAGCAAACTTGGAAATGTTGCATTTAAGCATTTGATTCCTTCAACCAGGTCATTTTATATACGTGTTGTGAATAATTGGGGCCTGAATAGTAATCCTTGTGCTACGCCAATAGTTACTGCCTTCCACTTTGAAAAAGACCCATTTATTCCCACTCTGGTTTCTGTCTATCAACTAATTCTCAGTCCATGCTAACATATTACTCCCATCCCATGTGCTTTAACTTTGTCCACTAACCTTTTATCAAGAGCCTTCTGAAAATCCAAATATCCCAAATCCACTGGTTCTCCCTTATCTATTCTACAAGTTACACCCTTCAACAACTCCAGTAGATTTGTTGAACATGATTTGCCTATCATAAACCCACGCTGGCTTTGTCGATCCTATCAAACCTTTCACATCTTTTACATAGACTCTAGCATTTTCCCAACTACTGATGTCAGGCTAGCTGGCCTGTATTTTTTTTTCTCTCCCTCCCTTTGTAAATAGAGTGATTACATTTGTGACCCTCCAATCTGTAGGAACTGCTCCAGAGTCTTTGAATTTTGGAAGATGACCACATCTGCAACTGTCATGCCGAGATATAGTTAGAGCTGAGCAGAGATCTGTTGGTTTTACAAAGGGAAAGGCAGTGGTGCTGTCCATCAGTTCTTAACCCTCATTAACTAACAAATTATCTCTCCAGTATCTCTGCCATGTGAGCCTAAGAAATGAAGAAACAAAAAAGGATACAATTGCTCACTTCTTACATTACCAATCATTGATATTATTAAAAACCTCAATGTGTTTTCCTAAATATTTCAAATTAGCTGAATTCTGTAACAGAACAAGATAGTCAGCATCACAATATTACATTCACTGTTCTGTTGGTGGTTAGTTTAACATTGATGAGAATGTTACAATGTTGATAAAGTTGATCCTTGGCTTTTTGTTTGGTGCAAGCAGCTGAATTGAAAGATTGAAGCAATTGTATTTTATTTTATAATACCAGTGTGACGTGCTGTTCCACCCCTGTACTGATTGTTGTTTTCAACCACTCTCGTGTTACTTGACATGCGTTCATGTTTTTACCCTATGTCTTGATTTTATTCTGCAACCTGTTTTTTAGGAACTATATTGAATAATCTGCACTTCATGTCAGTGCCTCAGGAGTGAAATGTTACACTCCTCGCTCAACATGGGATGGAACAAAGAACATTTTATTCATTGACTTCATGATTTCCATTCACCATGTAATATCCACCTCATATCGGAAGGAAAATTCTGCCTAAACATTCCATAATCATAAATGTCAAAACAACCTCGAATATTCACCCATTTTTGTATTTCAACTATTCGATTGTGTCCAACTGGTCTTTTCCTCCTCTTCCTAATAGTGAAACACTCCCATGAAGTATTTAATAGTGCTCCAACTCTGCTTGATATTCATTCCCGTTCTCAAACAGACACTTATTATCCTGTTGCTCCCTTTGTAATTTTACTTTGGACACTGACGACCTTATTTACTGTTATTTAGTTTTTTTGTATCTTGTATGTGCCAATGACGGTCTCCCTCAGGAGTTCAGTAAACCAGAAGTTTGGGAGTCTTCTTTACCTGTGAAATTGATACTCACCAAAAGTAATAAATGGAAGTGTTAAAACAACACCTTTAAAGACAGCCGCATGAAATTAAATTATGAACAGCATTTAGGGATGGAAGAATAAGTTGAGCCAGAGTTGAATGAATGCTGGGCAGGGCATGATTGTTTCTGAGTTAATGCTGCCTTGTAAATAACACATTAATGACAATTGACCAAGAATAAATATTAATATTAAATGACAAGTATCCACGAGTTGTCCTGCTTATCATTTCAAGGATATAGGGGCCAGCCTTTAAGAATTTCATAAACCTGAATAGATTGCACTTAATCCTATGAGAAAGGTTTAATTTACTTGTACATTTAAAAATAAGGAAATGTTACAGAGTTATCTGAAATTAGTGGAAAGAGGTCGGTTAGAACAAATAGATGTAGAGTATCTTCTGCCCTGATTTATCATTTTGTGCAATTTCAATGGGCATCATTCAAGAATTTAACTTGCATGCATAAAATGCATTTTCACCTTTTATTTACAGGCAATTCATTTAAAAACGTTTCCTAAAAGTAGTGGATTTTGAAATTGAGAAAACTGCTAATTTTGCAAAAAACAATTCAAAACTACTATTAAATATTTAACCCCTGGAAATTTAACATATTTAAGACTTCAAGACCTACATGTAAAGCTGGAGGATACTACATCAGCATAAAAGCAAAGTACTGCAAACGCTAGAGTTCTAAATGAAGACACAGTGCTTGAGAAACCTGGTAGGCCTCTCCACAGATGCTGCCAGATCTACTGAATTTCTCCAGCACTTTCTATTTTCATAACAATATATGGGAATTTTCCCAGCCTACACCTTTAAATTAGTTCTCATTGAAATACAAAACAGTTCAACATTTATTTTAATTATACTTGATAGATCAAAATCCTGGCTACAACCCAAGAGCTGCAGTATTTGAAGAAGGCAGCTCACCACCATCTTCTCCAGGCCATTTCGACTTGGGCAATAAAAGCTGGTCTCATCAGCAATAGCCATATCACATGAACCAATGGGAAAGTATGTTTTTGTTAGGAAGGAAAGGTACTTTTTGTCAATCATAGCCGAAGAACAAAACTAAACAGCCATTATGTGGTTATAAACCTGAACAATTAATTTGCAAGGAATTTGAAGAGAAATCAAAATATTTGGCATATTTGAGATAGTTGGAACTATGTTAAGGAAAATTAGCATAAAGCTGACTGCTCCGTCCGTGCCTAGACCTGAGTATTCTTTTTTCTGCCCCCTTTGTCTAATGTTATCTGACATTCAAGCACTGGGTCATATTGTTAGGCTTGATGTGCAGAAATTATGTTAGCTGGAACAATTTCATGTCTGCATCAACGGAAATAGGTGATGGCATAAAACTTGAGAATACGAACAAAAATACTTATGAAGTCTGTTTCTTCTAATTTCTTTTGTTGATAGTATCTTTGGTGCTGGGTAATACATTTTTAATCTGGTTGCCTTTTTCTTCACTGCAGAACATGGAAGAAGTGGCCCAAGGTAGATAACTTACCTACTATCAGCATAGAAAACTCATTCCTATCACCAAATGTCACCTGCATTCGATGGAAGGTACATGAAGACTGGGTTACACAGGTAACTGTCAATGTAGTCAGAGGTTATAGAGTCATAGAGTAATACAGCACAGAAACAGACCCTCTAGCTGATGTCTATATTAATCCCACAGACAGAATTTAATTACAGCCTGGGTGGTAATAAGGTGTTGGGGAAGGGTGAAGGGTATACAAGCAGGAATGAAAATGGTAAATGGAGTGCCCATTGTTTTCCCACCCCTGTCTCTTTTTGATTAAGCCAGTGGCAAGGACAGCCTACATGCCTGGAAGCTAATTGAATTTTACTAAGTGGTCAATTTGTGGCCACTTAAAGACCTCATCCCAACCCCATTGGTATTCTACCAGCAGCAAATGAGGATACTACACATTGAGTCACCACTTGGTGGAAGCAGGCAGACTCCCTGAAGCTCATGGGGTCCCTTCTGGTTGGGCACCCCCACAGCCTTACTGAGTGACCCCTCCATGCTCTCATGATTGACCTTCCATCCCCAGACCTCTAGCCCTAAATACTACATCCTACTGTTCAGTCACTGACATAGCTAGAATCTGCAAGTAAATTACATTAAGGCAAATCACCACAGTTTACCTGCCTCAATGCAGTGGGTCAAGGCTTTCCTAAATCAGACTTTTTTAAAAAAAAATGTCTAAAGACTTTAATCTCTGAAAAGGTCTTAAGGTAACAAGTTGAAGTAGTCTATTGCTTGGCAGAATTATGGGCCACTTAGACAATCTCAATTTAGATTATTATTGGCTTCCAATTCAGGAGAGTTCCATTGAGAAAATTATGGGAGCTTGGTCACCAAGGTGGGCAGCTCAAACTTCTTGACTCATGCCCCAAATCCAGCTCCCCATGGGCCCTCATACCTCCATGCCATCTCAAACCCAACTCATGCACCCACCAACCTCCTTATGGACCGTTATATCTGCCATGATGCCTCATTGCTACTTATCTGACATTAAAGACCATAAGATACTTGAGAAGAATTAGACCATTCAGTCCACTGAGTCTGCTCCGCCATTCGATCACGGCTGACATTTTTCTCAACCCCATTCCCCTGTCTTTTACCCATAGCCCTTGCTAACCTTGATCCCTTTCCTAGTGAAGAGCCTATCTATCTTTGTTTTAATTACACTCAGTGACTTGGCCTTCTGTAGTCTTCTGCAGCAATGAGTTCCAAAGATTAAACCACCCTCTGGCTGAAGAAATTCCTCCTCCATCTCAGTTCTAAAGGGTCATCCCTTAACTCTGAGACTGTGCACTGGTATCCTACTAGAGGAAACATTTTCTTCACGTCCACTCTATCCAGGCCTCTCAGTATTCTGTATGTTTCAGTCAAATCCCTCCCCATCGTTCTAAACTCCATCGAGCCAGGGGTAGATCACAGGAACCATGTGGGGATGAGAAAAATCTCCTAACAATCTAATACTTCAAAATATTTTGCTTTTGTTCGACCAATCCGATAGAGCTCTTTCTACTACACACTTGATAGTGAAAAAAATGCCCATTCATGAAACCTGTTCAAAGCTTTTAAATCTCAAGTGATTACCTGTTACAAAAGCAAACAAACATCTACTCAGACCTCAAATCAATCACAGATAATTCATTAACGGTCAACCAAACATGCAGCATCTTGTCAAACAGTTTTGATAGAATGTTATTTTCTGGCAATCAAAGCTATTGATTAGAGACTTTCTTTTGTTTCTTGCTGATGGCAGCAGCTGTTTACTCATGCCTAAAGAGTAAGGATTTCCATTAAAAGTCAGATCATATCAGCTATACAGATCTTAGCCACTCTTCAAAAGCATTTACATCCATTCAATCAATTTCTGCCTCCCACACTGTGTTAAGTTTAAAAAGTGGTCTGTTTGAAATCAGCACTGATTCAATTGGTCCTGTTGATTTTAGGTCTCCCTTCTGTGTGAGTTACCCCCTGTTCCCTTTCCCCCAACTGGTAAGAGTTGAATGCATAATTTAATTGTGCTGTTCACATTTCTTTTCTTTCAGATGAAATATTATGATGCAATTGGTTCAATTATTTCTTCCTCAAATCATGAAGCTACAGCTTTGGTAATAGGTAAATGAGCTTTTCAATACCAGATATCTCTAAAGTGGCCTATTTTAAAGCTTCACTGGCTGAATGAGGCTCACTAGAAAACATCTTAGTAAGAATAATAAGTGCAACATCAATCTCCAGTTCCAACGAACACTAGACCAGAGCCACTCTGCAGAATGTAAATACCTTTGTGGCAAACTTGATTCTCAAAAAGCTTGTGATAAATAGCTGTTCAAAAAACTGTTACATTAGACTGTGTCTTATGGAACTATAGGACTGCAGGGTAGATTTTAGATCAGATTGATTAGATGTGTACTGAGTGAGGGTTGTTATTATATGTGCTAGCGCTTCGGTGGAATCAGATGGAAATCACAGGATTATTGTTTATGATGGAGCAGAAAGAAAATACTGCCTATCCTATCACTGCCTCACCACTCCAGCTGCCCAGCAATGCAAGCCTCCCTTTCTCCACCTATAATATGAAACTGGCAGTGGAGTAGGCAGGGCCTGGTCACTGGTGTTGTTCTGTGCTGCTTCCGAGAATATTATTTAATGGAACATAGTGTGTCCTGTTCCCATTCTGCATCATCACCCCTCCTCCACCAGCCCTCCCCACTTCAGATGCATGGGGCCCAGTGATAGAGCATGAGGATATGATGTGGAGATTCTTCTGCATTTTTATTGCCTCTTTTTCAGTTCACATTTGCTGGTGATTGTTAGCTTTCATTAGTATTTAAGGTTACTAAAGGTTACAAAGCTTATTTGGAGTAGTTCAGTTTATCAACAATATATTGGCCATAAACACAAATGAATAAAGATGGCAAGACGAGTGACATGCTGTGACTGTAGGATATGGGAGTTTCTGGATGCCAGTATGATCCAGGACAAACACATCTACAAGAAGTGTTGCCTGTTTGAGGAGCTTCAACTCAGAGTTATTGAGGTGAAGACTGAATCTCACAATGCAATAAAACAGGGAAGGGAAAGTTATCTGGACCTTTTATTCCAAGAAATGGTCACACCTCATAGGATGGGATCTTCTGATTTGGTTAGTGGTCAGGGACAGGAGGGTGTGGCTGTGAGTGAGGCGAGTATGGGCTCTGAAGAGATGGGAGCGTCAGCCTTTACAGTTCTGTATAGATTCAGGGTTCTTTAAGCCTTTATGGATAGAATGGTGACTGCAGAGTGCTTAACCCAACTGACTGTGGCACTGTATAGAGGAAGTCATTCAAGTCAGAATCATTGAAAGGAATGTAATGGTAGTAGAGAGCAGCATATTCAGGGATATTCAGGAATTTTTGCAGTCAGTAGCGAGAGTCCAAATGACTGTGATCTGCCCAGTTCCTGGCTTTGAGATATCAGCTCTTAGCTGGAGAAATATTGCAGTGGGAGTTGAAAGATTCAGTGGTTGTGGACCATGTAGATCCAGTGACATAGGTAAACCAGGAAAGAGGTTCTGCTGCGGGAGTATAAGTATCTAGGGGCAAACTGAAAATGAAGAAACTTTAAAGAAGTAATCTCTGGAACATTACCTGAGCCATGAACAAATGGATGTCTGGTAAATCAGAGAGAGTGAGGGAGAAAAAGAGAGAGATAAATGTATGACTCAAAGATTGGTGAAAGATTGGGAAAAGAGTTTTGATTCCTGGGGCCGATACTAGGGAAGTGGGAAAAGATTTTAATCAACCTGATCAAACATGTTATGATACACTTAGTTAGAGACAAGAAAACTGCAGATGCTGGAATCCAAGGTAGGCAAACAGGAGGCTGGAAGAACACAGCAGGCCAGGCAGCATATGGAGGGAAGGAGCAGTCAATGTTTTGTCATCTCTGGAATAGATAAGACTTGAACTCAGGGTTTCTGGCTAAAGATATGGACACTACCACAGCACCACAAGAGCACAATGAGGAATGTGGGTGATATTTTAAATAAACCTGTTCAGCCATGTAAGTGAGACTTGAACACAGGCCTCCTGGTTCACAGATAGACACTATCATTGTGCCACAACAGCCTGACTAATGAAGTTGGAGTGGTTTCTAACCAACCAGTCCAGACATGGAGTGGGTGATACTTGAACCCAGACCTTCTGTCTCAGGGATAGGGACATTACCACTGGGCCACATTGGGGTCCCCCAAGGGAGGTGGACCTACTTTTCCCCTATTTTTATAATCAACCTGTTCAGAGATGTTATTACACACCTCTGGAGCAGGTGAGACTTGAACCCAGGCCTTTCAGTCCAGGGGTAGGGACACTTCCACTGAGCCACAAGACGGCCCCTTGGGAGGTGGAAACTGCGCTGATGAGATGGCCTACACTACAGGGATCAGTTCTTGCAAATTGTATAATTAGGAAGGTACAGAAGCTTTAAATAATAAGGGGAAGGGATCAAGTGAAGGGAGATATAGTCAAGGGAAACAACAATGCAATGGAGCCGAGAGCAGCAATTTGGATAATGATTACCCCGTGACAGCAAAAGACAGACATATAAATGTAACAGTCATCAGCAGATAAGGCCAGAGATTGAAAAATGCTTTAATAAAAACAGAATTCAAAGCCTTTTGTCTGAATGCACACAGCATTTATAACAAAAGGCATAGATTTTTGGGACTAATGGCAATAAATATATATATGACCCGATCGGCATTATAGAGACATGGTTGAAAGTTGACTGTGGCTGGATCTGAAAGGGTATTTGACATATTGGAATGATCATGCTATAAAGTGTAAAGGGAGGAATGTGCTGATAATCAAGATCCACCAGTCACACCATTTGTATCAGGGTGCTGATTCGATCATCAAAATGGCCAGTCAATTCCCTTTTTGCACTATTGTCCAGAATGAGAGACTTTCATCAAGCTCCTTTAATAAACACAATATAATCCAATTTATTATAGCACAAACGTATTTGTAAAGCATTGGCAAATACTGGTTAACATTTAAAATGTAATCCAGTATGAGAACAATCTCCTCCAATCCCAAATAAACACACTCACTCAACCAAAAGGATGACAGACTCTGCGGAGATCTTTTTTTAAAGGAGCAAAGCAGTTCTAATGGCCAAGTCTCCGAAAACAAAGGCTAAAATTTAATTAGTTTTAACAGTTTGCCAGTTTCTTGTCATGAGTGGCCTTCCCATGGAGAGGCCAATTGAGGCCCTGTTGAGTGAACACTTAAGGGGCCAGTTAATGGCCTCAGCCCAACTAGTGACGGGCAGTGGACTTACCTTCCATCTGATGAGGCCACTCAGTCAATCCTGTTGTGTTTGTCTGCAGACTTGGAGGGTGTGTCCCTCATTAACAAGCACTGAGTGCCTGACCAGAGGGCCCCAGCACTGGGAAGGTGACTTCACAGAAAGCCAACCCTCTGCCCTTGCTGTAGTCCAGTTCCTTCCCTCAGAATCGTAATCCTACCCCTTACCTGACTCCAGGACTGTTATTTTTGCCAGTCAGCCTCTTGGATTTCACAACTGCCTCCACTCTTGCTATAGAAGCGTCCCAGTGTAGTTTTCCTGGGACATTACAGATAGGTAATGGAATACTCCTTGATTTCAGAAATCCTGCCAGGAACTCTCAATGCATCAGAACAGCTTTGATGCTGAATACTGGGTTAGCATTCGGGCAGTGCTGGTCTCAGCTGGAACACTACCGTTAGGACTGATCTCTAGCACTGGTGTGTTTCTAGGACAAGAATGAGAAATAGTGGATTTTGGGTTATAGCAAGAGAAGCATTTCATTCATGGGGCTTGAAAAGAAAGGGGAACCTGCTACTAGCTGCAGGAAGCAGAGGCATTAGAAAATATAAAGGTGAAAAGAAAACCTCTTTGATTTGATTTGATTTATTATTGTCACATGTACTTAGGTAGAGTGAAAAGTTTTGTTTTGTCTGCAGTGCAGGCAGATTATACTATATAAAGTGCATTAGGGTAATAAAACAGAGCAAAAAAGCAAAGAAAGTGACAAAGATTTTTGATGGGAATAGTTAGCATGAGAATGGTAAATATTAAAAAAGATAAATTGGATGAATGTATATGTTTTCCCTGGACTAAAATATGCAATGTTTGATGCTTTGGTGCTAAATTCCTTGGTATCATTTAACAATACTTATTTTCATCACTTAAAATTTTACTTCAGTTTGAAAATCTGAATTATTCTAACTTCAGTAAAATTCTGAATTAGAAACAAAATTGACAATTGCTCCTGACTAAAAATTGGAAGAAACATAACAGATGCTAAAAAAACATTGGAAACAAACATATCCTGTTTGTTTGCTGTATTCTGTAACTTGCATGTCTTTTGTCTGTTTTTTTTTGTAAATTCTAATTATTTTCTTCACTGAACGGTTGAAGGTTGCACTACTGGAACCACTAACTTGGAAAAACAGATGAAGGAATTGAAGGAATGCTGGAAAGAGGGAAAAGGCATAAAGAGTCATAGTGCTCCTGGCATTCCTCAGAAAAGGCTTGAGTGTGATCAGTCTGTATTCCGTGTTCACAAAGGTGTAAAAACATTTGACTTCTGTAAGAAGAACAATCTGCTTGTAACGGGTGGAATTGACAGGATTGTGCGTATGTGGAACCCCTATGTTCCTGGGTAAGTTGGCACTGAAAACTTGGTATTAATATCCTCCCACATTAATGTGTATTGGTCCATATAGCCTTCTGCAAAAATTATTTTTCTTCTTCCTTTTGAGGGATGTGGGTGTCGCACTAGCATGGCTAGCTTTTGTAGTTTATCCCTCATTGTCCTTGAACAAGTATCTAGCTTGGCCATTTCAGAAAGCACTTGGAGTCTATTGTGTTATTGTGGATCTGGAACTATATGTAGGTCATGGCAGGTAAGGTTGGCTGATTTCCTTCCCTAATGACATGGAGACAAGTTTTCAATCCCAGATGTGTGATTTGAATTCTAAATTCTACCAGCTACTATGCTGGGATTTGAACAGTTGCCCTGAAACGTTAACCCAGGCCTTTGGAACACAAGCCCAGTGATGTTGCAACTATGCTGTTATTTTTTGCTCAAGGATTCATTTATTGTTCTACCATAGAATGAAAAGTCAATGGTTGAATTTTTAGTTTATTATACGTAAAAGCATAATGAAGGGAATCAAATGTTTTGGAATGACAGAAGGTAATGCATTTAAATTAGAAGTGCAATGTTTGGAGAATGAGAAGATTCAAGGATGCAGGATGATAAATTGCTTTTGTTGCATTGTAAAAATAGCCAGAAGGAATATGTTGTAAGTTTGCTGCGTCTTGCAACCACAGTTGTTCCATCCCCTGTATTCCCCCCACTAAATTTGTAGTCAATAAATGTGGCTTTCAAAAAGAAAACAAACTGAATTAACAATTACACCCTGTTCTTAATTGTGGAGAAGGGAAATTGTATTTTGGAAAACTGCTAATATGCACTCCTATTCAAGGAGGGAGGGGCATGGAAAGCAGGAAGCTATCAGCTAATTAGCAGAAGGTATCCTTGGGAAGATGCTAGAGTACATTCTTAAGGAAGAAACGGTGGGGCATTTAGAATAGTTTACAAAATCAAACAGAGACTCCATGGTTTTGTGAAAGCGAAATCATATTTGACAAATTTACAAGAGTTATTTTTTTAGGCTATAATAAGCAGATGTAATCATACTCATGGAATCGCAAAAGGCAGGACAGATCCAAGCAAACCAATTACTGCCCCATTAGTCTATTCTCGATCATCAGTAAAGTGATGGAAGGTGTCATCAATAGTGCTATCAAGCAGCACCTGCTCAGCAATAATCTGCACAGTGACGTCCAACTAGGTTCTGTCAGGGCCACTCAGCTCCTGACCTCATTTCAGCCTTGGTTCAAACATGGACAAAGGAACTGAATTCCAGAGGTGAAGTGAGAGTAACAACCCTTGACATCAAGGCTGCATTCAATTGAGTGTGATATCAAAGGACCCTAGCAAAACTGAACTCAATGGGTATTGGGGACTAAACCCACCACTGCTTGGACTCATACATAGCCCATAGGAAGGTGATTGTGGTTGTTGAGGTCAGTCATCTCAGCTCCATGACATCTCTACAGGAGTTCCTCCGGGTAGGGTCCTCAGCCTAACCATCTTCAGCTGCTTCATCAATGAAGATCAGAAATAGGGTTGTTCACTGATGATTGCACAATGTTCAGCATAATTCGCAAGTCCTCAGATACTGAAGCAGTCCATGTTCCAATGCAATCAGATCTGGACAATATCCAGGCTTGGGCTGGCATGTGGCAAGCGATGTTCGCACCACACAAATGCCAGACAATGATCATCTCCAATAACAGGCAATCTAACCATCACCCCTTGATATTCAATGATGTTACCACCACTGAACTCCCCACTATCAACATCCTTGGGGCTACCATTGACTAGAAACTCAACTGTACCCACTTCATTAAACACAGTGGCTACAAGAGCAGGTCAGAAGCTAGGGAATACTGTGGCAGTAACTCACCTCCTGACTCCCCAAAGCCTGTCCACCATTTACAAGGCACAAGTCAGAATGTGATGGAATACTCCCCACTTGTCTGGATGAGTGCAACAACAATCAAGAAGCTTGGCACCATCCAGAAAAAAGCAGCCCAGTTGATTGGCACCATATCCTCAAGCGTCCACTCACTCCACCACTATCACTGAGTAGCAGCAGTGTGGACTATCTGCAGAAAGTAATCCAGAAATTCACCAAAGATCCTTAGGCAGCACCTTCCAAATCCATGGTCTCTTCTATCTAGAAGGATGGGGCAACAGATAGTTGGGAACACTACTACCTGCAAGTTCCCCTCCAAGCCACTTACCATCCTGACTTGTTGGGTCAAAATCCTGGAATTCCCTCCATAACAGCATTGTCAACCCTACATCATGTAGACTGCAGCGGTTCATGATGGCAGCTCACCATTTCTCATGGGCAGCTAAGATGAGCAATAAATGCTGGCCTGCCAGTGATGCCCATGTCCCACGAGTGAATATAAAACGAGTTGATAAAGGAGAAGTGGCAGATGTAGTGCATTTAAATTTTTAGAAGACACTTGATAAGGTGCCACATAACAGATTATCCCACATTATAGAAGCTCGCCGCATTGAGGGGGATTGTTTTTAACATGGATTGAAGATTAGTTAATAGATGAAAGATGGAGAGTCAGGATGAACGGATCCTTTTCAAATTGGAAAATGTAACTAGTGGAGTGCCATAATGATCAGTCATGGGGCTTCAATTATTTATTGTCAATATTAGTAACATGAAGGAGGGGGAAGAGCATAATGTATCTAAGCTCTTTGTTGATATAAAAATAGGTGGAAAGGCATGTTATAATGAGGGCATAAGGAATCTGCAAGGGGATCTACATAGGTTGAGTGAGAGGGCAAAAACTTGGTAGATGTAGTAAGGTGTGAGGTTATGCACTTTGGTAGGAAAAATCAAAGGCAGACTATTATTTAAGTGGAGAGAAAGATGTCATAAAATGTGATGCAGAGGAATTTGGGTGTTTTTGTATACAAAACACAAAACGTTAGCATGCAGGAACAGCAAGTACATCAGAAGGCAAATGGAATTGTGGCCTTTCTTGCTAGGGGATTGGAGGTTAAAATTAAGGAAGTCTTGCTGCAACAGTACAAGGTGTTGAGGAGGCTGCAGCTTGAGTTCTGTGGTTTTGGACCCATATTTAAAAAGGGATGCACTGGCATTGGAGGCTGTTCGATAGAGATTCACTAGGATGATTCCTGGGATGAAAATGTTGACCTATTTCCCATGGCCTTTTCAACATAACCCGCACATCTTTGGACTGTGGGAGGAAACCCGTGCAGACACAGGGAGAATGTGCAAATTCACAAAGACCCAAGGGTGGAATTGAACCTGGGTTCCTAGCACTGAGCCACTGTACAGTATCTTAAAAGAAGAATGAAAAATAAAGCATCAGAGAAGTTTGAGGTAGGGAAGTACCAAAACTGAGAACTTTGGCAATTCAAAACATGGCCACCATTGATGAAACTATGACACCTGGGATGTTCAAGTGGTCAAAATTAGATGAAGACAGGTATCTTGTGGGGATTGAGATACTGGAGGTTTGAAAACAAGGTTGAAAACAAAAATTTCAGAATTGATATGTTGCTTGTAAGGGTGTTATTGTTAGCCAGCAAACTCAGGGGTAAGGGCCAGCAGCAGATATAAACTGCTTCTCAAATGGCTAGGAGGGAAGGGTGATCCCCAGTCCACTCCCAATGATCTCCCTAATGACGCTAACCATGGTATAAACCAAGGTCTGAGAGTAAATCTGCTACGTTCCACTATTGCTGGGACTGGTATACAACATAATAATACCCAAGGGGAGAATTTACTGAAATTTCTGTGATACCATAAGCTTTTATTTTGTTCCTGGTTTAGTGTTTTATGAACTTTAAATGCATTCTTATTAAAGGAAAAGTGCAAAGTATGAAAAAATGGACTGCACTTATTATATTGAGTGGGCCGTATCCATTTATCATGTATCTATTTGTTCAAAGGAAACCTACTGGCTTGTTGAGAGGCCACTGTGCTCCAATTTTCTTTCTGTACATCTCCACTGATGACAATAAGCTGTTTTCTGTCTCCACTGACAACACAGTGAAGGTTTGTAAACCGAGGGCATGACGTCTTACCTTATGGTGTCAATTATGTTCTGTTCCAGCTTGCTTACATTGATGCATGTGTGGTGATCCTGAATTATTTTCATGTGTTTCTGCTTTTGATTAAAGTAGCACAACTACTAGACACTCCTTTGCAGAGATGTGCAGTAAGTGAGATTCAGATATGAATACAGTAGGAATAATCCCCTCGGGGTAAAAGGGGAGATGAGTTGAGGTGAGCACTCTCACCATTCTCTAAACAACTCTAATTAAATTATCAATTTCAAAGTAAAATGGAATGTAGTAGGTGTGTGAAAGATGAAAAAAATCACACTGATGTTGCAACTCATTCCTTGGGCCAAATTGTCTGTTTCAACTATAATTGATTTTTCTGAGATGTAGTAATTTCAAAATATTTTATGAAGTTTATGAATAGCGGACTCTGGATTAAATGGGTCTAATTTGTCCAATTGGAAATTTTTTTCTGTTTTTAGATCTGGGATATTGAGGACCAAAGTTGCTTGTACACAGCCAATTCAAAAGCCAGTCGAATTAAAGGAGATGTATCTGCATGTCACTATGTACCAGGTCTCAAAGGACTTTGCATCGCTGCAGATGGTGTTGCGCTGCTCCATCTAAGGATACAGTGAGCCACTTTGAACATAGAAATATAGAAACTAGGAGCAAGAGTATGCCATTCAGTCCTTCAAGCTGCTGTGCCACTCCATATGATCATGGCTGAGCTTCTGTCTCAATGCCATGTTCCTGCTTTCTCCCGTACTCTTTGATGCCTCCAATATCTAAAAATGTATCAACCTCTTTCTTGAATATATTGAGTGACTTAATGTCCAGAGCCTTCTGTGGGACACAATTCCACAGGTTCTCTACCCTTTAAGTGAAGAAATATTTTCTCATCTCAGCGCTAAGGGACCTACCTCATATCCTGAAACTGTGACCTCTGGTTCTAGACTCCCCAACTACGAAAAATATTCTCCCTGCTCTAGTCTGTCCAGCCCTGTTAGAATTTTGTACATCCCTAGTATCAGCCTTGTACACCTCTACTGCACTTCTTGTATGGCAAGTACATCCTTTCTTAGGTAGGGAGACCAAAACCGCATGCAATTCTCACCTCACCAAGGCCCTATTTTAACAGCAGTAAGACATCTTCACATCCAAACTCAAATCCTCCTGCAATGCAGACAAAAGACCATTTGCCTTCCTAATTGCTTGCTGCCCCTGCCTATCTACTTTCATTGACGGTGTACAGAACCCTTTGTACATCCACACTTACCAACATATCACTATGTAAATAATACTATGCCTTTTTGTTTTTTCACACAGAAGTGTAGAGCTTGACATTTATCCACATACTGCATCTAGTATTGCCCACTTGCCCAACTTCTCTAAATCACCTTGTATCCTCTTCACAACTCACAAACACACCCAGTTTTGTGTCACCAGCAAACTTGGAAATGTTGCATTTTGTTCCTTCATTTATATTATATCTTATATATAGTAGGGTCTCAAGCACAGATTATCCCACTGCCTGCCACTTGGAAAAAGACCCATTTACTCCTCCGTTTCTTGTCTGCCAACCAATTCTCAGTTTATGGCAGTATGTTACCTTCTTGCCCATATGTTTTAATTTTACCCACTAGCCTCTTATCTGGGACATTACCAAAAGCCTTCTGAAAATATTAGAGATCATTGCCTAAAGATCAGCCTAAGGCTGTCACTTTTGGTCCTGAAGAGTGCCCCATCTGCCTCGAATTATTCTGCAAGACTGTATGCCTCACAGTGGGCTGCATGGGCCACTAACTGGTGAGTCTGAACAAACAGCATGTTGCCTCAAATTTATGCAACCGGCAGAGTACTGACTGTATTCGACTAACCATACTTACAAAACTCAGAACATAAGGACCAATATTAGATGTGATTCTGTGGTGGAATAGCACTTACTAAGCAATCTGTAAAATGTTAACAATTCCATGAACAATCAATTTAAATTGATCTGATAGGCTCACGCATATGCAGTGTGACATTACTGCACAAGCAATGTAGTGATGTCAGCCATGCAGTCAGAGATTCATTCTGGCTTAGGGATGTTTGTAACCAGTAATTGCACCCAATTGTGCTTGCCATTTTGATTGCCATCTTTGTGTTTATATCAGTCATTCCATTCCATTAATTGAAACACAACTGTTCCAGACTGCCACCTAGTGCTGATGATATGTTGATTTATTTCAAGTAATCGGAGAGGATTGATTGATGACTCAGCTGGAGTGGAGAGAGATTTGGATTTGCAGGAAGAAAGGTTTGAAGAAGGTCAAATTAGACCATGAAACACATGGTTAATTGTGAGGTCAACTGAATGGCCCATTTCCTGATGCTGTTTTGCATCTGATTTTAATTATGGAAAGCGCACTCCATATGTTTAATGCACTATTTCTGCAAAAACTGAATTAGATCAAGATCACATTATATTTTTCATTATGGCAAACTGAGGAGTGCTTGTGCCTGTTATGAATTTAGATCATAACTGGTAAGGGAAGAGTAAGGAATGTTAAGATGTAGGTTTTACAGTGAAGATGATCAGTACACATTTGGGAAGACGCAGGAGTTTTATTCTGTAGCTCGACATTGAAATTATCTGGAACAAATTGGCAGGATGTGGTATCTTCACTCAAGGGAAACCACTTGGGTCAAATTTTCACTAATTTGGGATAAATTATGGTCAGCTTTATTTATGTTGAGACAATTGAAGTTGTTTCACTTAGAACTATGAGACTTCCATTCCCATTAATCCTATGCTGTTTCATTTTCCAAATTCCAACAGTGAAAGCTCATACTAATTATAATCACTCCCATGTTTGCTTTTCGTGCTTATGTTTAACTTTATAAATTAATCATATGCATAAAGGAATGTGAGTAAGTTGAGCAGGAATAGTGAGCATAGACAAGAATAAACTAAGAGATCATTGAAGGAAAGGAGAAAACTAGAATTATGGTAAAATTGAATGGAAAAAAAGGTTAAAAATAAGGTAAATGGAATTAAAATTACAAATGAACTGAAATATCTATGCAGCAATGTACGCTATGGACCAAGTCTTTAGATGACACCAGGAAAACCCACCTGCATATCAGGAAATAACTTCACATGCTACTTTGGCCTTTTGATGCAAGGATCGAGTTCACACAGCATTTTGTGACTAAGAACATGCAAGGAGTGTGGATACAGAGGTGGACTGTCAGATTTTTAAAACACCAGATCTCACTAGGAACTGTATTGCTGTTCCTTCATAGTTGCTAAGTCGATATCATGGAACTCTCTCTGAGTTGTGACTATCGCTATGCCCCAAAGACTGCAGTGGTTCAAGAAGGCCTATGGTACTTTCTGGACGCACAATTCTGCACCATTGTTAGATCTGTTTGAAATCTGGTCATGTAGCACAGCGGTAGTGCCACTCAACATAATGAAGGGTATCTTCATTGTGAATATGGGGCTATGACTGGCGAGAATGAAGTCAAGTAAGTTTTTTTTTGCTTGTTGGTTTTCACACTACCTGTTGCAAACCCAGTTTAGTGGCTACTTGACAGCTCAGTATGTTGTGGTGCTGCTGAGCCACTCGGTGATGGAATTTGAAGTCTCCCACCCAGACTACATTTTGTAGCCTTGCTACCCTCTGAGATTCCTCCAAATGGTGTTCAACGTGGAGGAGTATTGATTCATCAGTCAAAGGAGGCCAGTAGACGATAATCAGGTGGTTTCCTTGCCCATGTTTGACCTGATGCTATGACAGTTCATGAGGTCTGGAGTCAATGTTGAGGACTTGCAGGGCAATTCCCTATGGACTACATATCTCTGTGCCATGAACCTGGTACATCAGTCCTGCAGGTGGGTGAGGGCATGCCCAGACATTCTGATGGTGGTGTCTGGGATATTGTCTATAAGGTATGATTCTGTGAGTGTCAGGCTGTTGCTTGACCAGACTGTGAGACACGTTTCCAGGTACTAGGCCCCAGTAGTTAGTAAGGAGGACTTTGCAGGATTAATAGAGCTGGGTTTGTCATTGTAATTTCTGGCATCTAGGCCAATTTCAGGTGGTCCATCCAATTTCATTACTTTCTTTGGACTCTGTATGAGTTAGTTACAACTGTGTGGCCTGCTCGGCCATTTCAGGGGGCATTTGACAGTCAAACGCATTGCTTGGGCCTGGAGTCGCTTCTAACAGAATAACAGAAGTGTTACTGTGCAGAAGGAGGTCATTTGGCCTATTGTGTCTGCACCAGCTCGTTAAATGAGCATCATTTAACATGCCAGTCTACTGCTTTGTTCCTAAATGCTTGCAATTATTTTTATACGAATAATTATCCTGTTGAAGTTACCTCTGCTGCACTTCCGGGCAGTGCATTCCATACCCTAACTACATGCTGAGTGAAAAAGCTTTTCCTCACATCACCCTTGCTTCTTTTGCAGCTCAGATTTTAAATCAATGCCCTCTTGCTCACGTTCCTTTTATGAGTGGAAACAATCTCTGTTTGCCCATCTCTACTCTGTCTTCTTCCAATCTACTCCTGTAGCCAGGTTATCTAAGGAAGGGAAAATTTCTTCCCTAAAGCCTAGCACAAGTGTTTTAGCTATGGAATGATTGACATGCCAATGTGAATGATCATGAATGATCCACTGTCAGTGAAAATCCGTTATATTAGGAATGGTGGGAGGGCTGGGAATTTGGATTTGGGAGCCAATCACCATTTTTAAAGCACTATCCAACATATTTCAGCCCTCGTTGCAATGAGAAAGACCATCATATCTAGAGCAGTGCAGTATCACATTGTATCTAGATCCTCATCCTTGCATTTCAAGAAGACTTGCAGGATCAACACTTCCCTAATTCGAGGCACGTAATGAATAATATCACCTCAATATTGCTTTTAAATGAATTGCCCATGGTGCTGAGCCAATGTTTCACGTTTGTTCTATTTCTCTGATATTCTACAGACCTCAGGCCAAACCAGACCACGTCTGTTCCCATAATGAGCCAGCTCTGTGCTGTAAATATAGTCATGAGTTCCGGCAGGTCATCAGTTGTTCAGAAGGATCTGTAAGTTAATGTTTCGGTAAATAATTGTAGTAGCACCTACTGATACTGTCGATTGTGATTTTTGAAAAAGCCTCTATGGTACTGAAATGTAAAATAAAACTGTACTTTAAATAAAAAGCATAAATATTTCAGGCGCTGAAAAGTAACCAAATGATCTTGCATATAATCCAGGGAACATGACAATGAAAACAGGAAAATACATGTTTAAGCTCGATTGATAAATGCTGCAGATGCTAGAAATCTGAAATGAAAGCAGAAAATGTTACAAACATTCAGTAGGTCAGGCTGCATCAGTAGAAGTTCATTTTCAAGTTAATGACCTTTCATCCATTCGGGAAAACAGGTCATTAACCTGAAATCACAACGTGTAGAGCTGGATGAACACAGCAGACCAAGCAGCATCAGAGGAGCAGGAAGGCTGACGTTTCGGGCCTAGACGCTT